CTATCTATCTATCTATCTATCTATCCCAGTCTATTCCTAACTCTTTATACAAATCTATCTATCTATCTATCTATCTATCTCTATCTATCTATCTATCTATCTATCTATCTATCTATCTATCTATCTCAGTCTATTCCTAACTCTTTATACAAATCTATCTATCTATCTATCTATCTATCTATCTATCTATCTATCTATCCCAGTTCATAATTACGAGGGCACTGAAAAATTCGCACCTCAACCATAAAGGGATCCAAAAATAAATTCTTACAGATTTTCTTTGCAAAAAATATTTTAGTGCTGCTATAGTACGATATGTAGCGAGACATTTGCGACCTACCGTAAATGACAATGTATTTATTATTGCTTGAAAATGTTCAGGAAAACCGATGACCTGTTTACAACTTTTACATGACATCAAATAAGTTTCCAAACATTAAAATCACTACTTGATTGTTTTCATTTTTTTAATACAAAAAAATTTTTTTAATAATTTTTAATACATAACCAGTTCACTGTTCACTGAATTTAACCCTAACCTCTAAACATAACCCCTAAACCTAACCCCAAACCCTAACTATAACCTCTAACCCTTAACCATAACCTCTATCTCTAACCATGACCTCTAACCCTAACCCCTAACCCTAACCTCTATCCCTAACTATAACCTCTAACCCTAACCCGTAACCCTAACATCTATCTCTAACCATGACCTCTAACCCTAACCCCTAACCCTAATCAAATTCCTTACTATAACCTCTAACCCTAACCCGTAACCCTAACCTCTAGCTCTATCCATAACCTCTAACACTAACCCTAACCTCTATCCCCAACCATAACCTCTAACCCCTACCACTAGCCTCTAGCTCTAACTATAACACTTAACCCTAGCCCCTAACCCTAACCTCTATCTCTAACCATAACCTCTAACCCTAATATCTAGCTGTCACCATAACCTCTAACCCTAACCCCTAACCCTAACCTCTATCCATGACTAACCTCTAACCCTAACCCGTAACCCTAACCTCTATCTCTAACCATAACCTCTAACCCTAACCCCTAACCCTAATATCTAGCTGTCACCATAACCTCTAACTTTATTCCCGTAACCCAACTGGCTCGATCCCTGATTTTCTGGATAACCCCGTAACCCTAACCTCTAGCTCTAACCATAACCTCTAACCCTAACCCTAACCTCTATCTCTAACCCTTAAACCTAGCAGTAACCCTAACCTAACCTATTTCATACAAACAACAGTTGGTAAATATCATAGCATAGTGAAAAATGAATGGTAGATATACTATATAACACCAATATTTTGTTTATTCTTACCCTATTAACAATTATCTCCTACCGAGAGAGAGTGAAGAGTGGGAAATAATTTATCACCCAGAAGGACTCGGAGACGCTTTGGACTCTATCGAGACGAGAGAGTGAGTGAGTGAGAGAGAGAGAGAGAGAGTGGGAGAGAGAGAGAGAGAGAGAGAGATCGATAGTTGTACTTAACATTCTTGACGTTTTATTTTTGTTCTTTTCATACAAATGTTCGATGAACTCTGTTCAGCCTTTTCGATAATTGTCAAATTTCGGTTGGCGTCGCTCAATAGCTTTATAATCTTTTGTTCCCTTTGGAGGTTAGATTTTTTATAGATTAATTGACCCTAGTTATATGTAATTGGCAGAAATGCCCAACAAATAGAACTGACAAAGTTTGCGATAAGCAATAACAAGAGAAAGAAAAGAAAAAGAACAGTGGAAAAACAATACTGAGTAAACAATGTATGCAAGTAATAAGGCGGAAAGTCCACAACCTAAGAAATGTGTTAACATACAAAAGGGGGGGATACAGACAATCGATGGCGGCGATCCGACATCAGGACAAGAACGGACCAGAACTAAGTAGAATGTGACCGTGGAGTGAACTGTCTTATTGGCTACGAAGAAATCCCATAATGCCTCTGTCTGTAAATTTAGAGATGGTGTGTTTTTGCAACCTTTCTATTGATTGGAACCACAAAGTACGATATTCAAAAATCTAATTTAAATGTCAATCGTCAAAGTTCTGTCTCCTTGAATCGTATTCTTTTATCGTCCACTGTTTCTTTTACTCTCAACCTCTTTGAGATAAACAATAACAAGAGAAAGAAAAAGAACAATGGAAAAATAATACTGAGTAAACAATATATGCAACCCCTTGTATCATTTCATTGTCTTGCTTGAGATAAAAAGAAAATTATTGTTCCTATTGAAAGTCCTCAAGTGATGTGGCTTCTGTTTGTCTTATGTAACAATTTATTAATGGATAATGGCTTGGAATTGTTAATTGGAGAGCCGAGGTCCAATAACAGTTGGGTTCTTAATGTTCACTTGGAAAAGGTATGAATCTACCTTTTCTTCTGCCAGCTATGGGTTAAATAGTGTAGAGCAGTTGGCCATGGTTAAATGTAATTGTCAGAAATGCCCAACAAAGAGAATTGATAAAGTTTTCAATAAACAATGACAAGAGAAAGAAAAGAACAGTGAAAAAATAATGCTGATCAAACAATATATGCAAAGCAAAGCAAAGCAAGTGTAATAAGGCAGATATTTCACAAACTAAGAATGGTGTTAACACAGAAAAGGGGATACAAACAAGTGATCGCAGCGTTCTGACTTCAAGAAAAGAAAAAACACAACTAAGTCGGGTGAGATCGACAAGTGGCCTGACTTATTAACCAAGAAGAAATCCCATCGTACATCTGTGATTTGTCTATAAATTTTAGGAGGAGACGTTTTGCAGTCATTACTATACAAGATTGGTACCATCATCTTTCTTTACATAGAGCATTTTGACGTGGTGTAATGGTTAGCAAGATACGACTGAGGAGTGAGTTCGATCCTCACTGAGTGTCCCATACTTCAGGCCTTGTGCCACAACAAAGTTACGCTTAGTAAATCACTATCTATCCTGTATGTGAAAATAAAACATGTATCAATTAAACTATTAAAAGCCTTACGGCCATAGAACGGTGAAACATCAGTTAAACAACGTCGAGCTTGGTCAGTCCCTCAATTGTTGACCTCTTGGGAATACCAGATGCTGTAAGATTGCATGTGCGGGTGGTGTAATCAATAGCGGTTCGGAATGAAAAAATCGGAGAGCCGGGTTCGAATTTTACCCGTATTTGTTATATTCATTTATACGCAAATACGCTTTGGCGATCATGAATCGAAAAGGTACGTGATCACCCAAGCGTGTCAGATCCGCTCCTCTTGACACGCACTGGGTCAGACTTATAGGGTAATGACCTATTCCTCCCCAACGTCCAACAAAAGACCTCACAGGCTTAGGAGAAAAATAATATTAATAATTATTAATAATAATAACAAATAACGTTTCCGCTTTCCAAAACACGTCGGCCAGTAATACGATGACAGGTTCAAGGGGAGAAGATTTATTTTACATAAAAAAGCATTAATTATTGAGGCCAATTAATGCTTTATTTACATTATTCGGACTATTGTCCTCATCTTTGTCGCCATATTTATCACATAGCACAGTGCATAAAGGCGTTGGTTAGATCCAGTGACAGAACCCAAAGAGTGTGAGTTCAATACCCGGTTAAGGCAGTGGAGAACTTTCAGAGGGAAATTAGCAGGAGATAACTGATAACTGACGTCCATCAAACATGGCACGTGGAACTAGAACAGTCTACCCCAGTGAGCGAAATAAAGGGTTCAGTTCGACATTCCAACCACCTGAAGAAGGCCGGAGCGTACAAAAACGTTGTGATAAATATGGCGACAAAGGTGAGGACAGTAGTCCGAATAATGTAAATAATGTAAATAAGACTTCATCTCAGAAATATAGACAAATCCAATTAATGCTATTTTAAATTTGCTCTGTCCTAGAAATGTAACAATATCGAATAGAAAAGTCTAATAAATCTTTGAAAGAACAAAATCTTTCCTATGTTAATAACATTTTAAAATTACTATAAAATTTAAAATTTAGTTGACATCAATAATCGACGTGTCTTATGTAAATTAATTAAGTAATAAATAATAAATGGGATATATGTTAATGTATTCAATACATTTCTCATAACCAGACGAGCGAATCTGTGTCTGCGAAACATCATGTTGGAAAAATCAGTTATTTGAACTTTTATTTATATTAACAATTTATACTGATATGAATATTTATTTACAATATAAGGAACAAACCAGAAGTTACATAATAACATCACATATCTATCTATCTATCTATCTATCTATCTATCTATCTATCTATCTATCTATCTATCTATCTGATTCTGTTCATTATCTATCTATCTATCTATCTATCTATCTATCTATCTATCTATCTATCTATCTATCTGATTCTGTTCATTATCTATCTATCTATCTATCTATCTATCTATCTATCTATCTATATTGTTTATATTGCTTCTGTTTGAATACAAACATTGGCTCCAGTGCAAATAACTATATACTCGCATGCTTCTAATGCCATGTGTATTCTTGCTTATAATTCAGAACATATTTTTATGTAATATCGATTATATCTTTAAGTAAACTCAAATAGATACGCTATCCGCTTTCCGCTTTCCGCTGGGAAGGTTTCGTAAACAAAAGCAGTTTCATAGTTAGCGACCTGGAAGTTGTAGCTTGAAAAAATCATGGTGATAATAATGACTCTGACATTATGCTGCACATGATGTATTAAATTGAATTTACGACGGGCTACAGTAAATATTCGCTTCTGTACCACAGAATGACTTGCCACTTGCATAACCATAACTACTTAGGAATGTCCTCGGCGTGCTGACATAGTTTGCATATCTGTTCATGAGCGAGAGTAGTGATGGTGGCCTTGGAGCCATATAGATTGATTTGAAAACACACACACAATCGGAGACCATATGAGCAGACTAACTTTCTCGAAGAGGAAGTATTTGTAACTGGACTTCACCTACAAGGTAATGCGATGCTTTTATTAAAATCTGGCTTTTATAGCCACATCAAATTGAAACACCGGTTCCTCTGCGATCACCGAAATTAAGCAACGTCAAGGCTGGTCAGTACCTAGATGAGTGACTACTTGAGAATATCAGGTGCTGTAAGCTTAGATGTGCGGGTGGTGTAATGGATAATGGCTTGGAATTGTTAATCGAAGAACCGAGTTTCAATTTTAATTGGGGTTCGGTATATTCCTTACACGAAATAGCTTAACGAAAGGTATGAATCTACTTAATTTCCCCCCACCTATGGGTTAACATTTAGACAAGCCTGTTACGTAGGCAACGTATTTCTTTTTTGCAGGTCTTTTAATACGTCCTGTGAACGGCTCGGACTGTGGAATCGAGAGCCGAGTTCGAATTCCAGTCGAATCCATTAGATTCTCTTACGTGCTAATACCGTTGGGAAAGGTATGAATCCTCTTCTTCTCGCCCCCCCCCAGCTATGAGTAAATAGCAGGACAGACCGGGTTTTATAGCCTTGGATGGGAACTACTCTACCACAGAAAGAAATGGTAACCTACCGAGGAAAAAATCTGCCACGTCAGTCATGTATTGAAAGATAAATGATCGCCTAAGTGTGTATCACGCATGGCACATAACTGACTGAGAGCCATTTTCTCCGAGTTTCATTTTAATATGCATCCTCGAAATTTCAAACCTTTTTTCTGAGTCTACGTATAAGTAGCCTTTTTCTTTCCATTTTCTTCAATATTTGCCGTTGCTCACCTGCAGTGTTCACATCTCTGTTGCCAATTCTCCTTTACATATCGACGAAATTAAGCAACGTCGAGCCTGATCAGTACCTAGATGGGTGACCACTTGGGAATATCAGGTGCTGTAAGCTTGGATGTGCGGGTGGTGTAATGGATAATGGCTCGGAAATGTGAATCGAAGAACCGAGTTTCAATTCCAGTTGGGTTCGTTAGATTCCCTTACGCAAAAATATCTTAACGAAAGGTATGAATCTACTTATTCTCCCCCAGCTATGGATTAATTAATAAAACTTGAATCACTAAAACCATTAATAATTAAAAAGACAACATAAATTTTTAGATTTCAGTATAAGATAAGCTATAGTGGTTGACATGACCCGTAACGAAAACACATCACGCCCTTTTGACTCTGCTGCATGTATTTGTTCTACCCATTAAAGTCTTAGTATTATGGTAGATAGATTGAACCATCACTGTTAATATGTATATACTGTAATTTATCGTAAATAATACACATTTTTTCTATAAATTACAGGTGATAGTAGGGGTGCGTATTATAAATAGTTTTTTATGCATTTCACCCCAAGCAAGGCAGAATGCCACTAGCGTGCAAGGAGTTACAGAGGGTGGGAGTGAGAGTAAAGAGGAGTGATGGAGGAAAGGATGAAGAGAAGGACGGGGAATAGATCAAGGTATCCGGAGATGTCGATAGATATAACATTTGAATAATTGGAAATTATAGTTATCAGAGAAACAAGTAATAGGAAGGGAATTCCACAGACGGGGGGTGCGAGACATGAAGCTATTGGAGTAGAAGAGACGGCTACATTTAAACGTTTCCACAGTGAAAGGGTGGGAGCGAAATGCCAGCCTAGTTGCAAGTTTAAATTCATGTAGTCTGGGAACTAGCGAAAGTACCTCGTAAGGGCAGGTACCGTGAAAGAATTTGTAGAAAAGACAGAGGGATGTGACGGCACGTCTGTGAAAGAGTGACTGAAGACGAGATGTCAGAGCAGGGCCAATCAAGCAAAAATAGTTTTTTCGTTATTGATTTATAATAATAAATACGTAATTGATGTTCCAAAATAAGAAAGATATCCCAATTTTCATTTTAAATCCATCAATAATAAGTGTAACACTTTTGTCAATAAATCTAGGCTTATCAGTCACCGCATTTTGTTTTTTTGGCGAAAAAAACCCAAAAACAAACAAACCAAAAACAAACCAAAATGGCCAGTTTCAAAGAACTTAAAAACCATCTACTTGAACGTCTTTCTTTCACAAATTCAATTAAACTTTGTTCCATATCTGGTTATTGAGCTTTTCTTCCTCTACCTATAGCTTTGGAACTTGATTTACACTTTTAAAATTCATTTTTATTCTTTCTCATTCAACTCATATTCTCTAGCTGCAGCTCTGTTTCCTATTCTTTCTGCTAATTTTATTACATCTCGTTTAAAATTTGCACTATAACTCGCACGTTTTTACGTCATTTTGGCGGTAAAATAAAATGTTATATTTATCGGGAGATCAGCCTGGTAATTTTCAACATTATTTTAGGCGCTTAGTTTCGATTTTATTCTTAATGTCAATATCAATGTTCGTAATTATATTTTTTTTGACAAAATTTATAGATGCGTATTATACATAGGGATAGATATTTCTTAATTTTTGGATCATTTATTGGGGTGCGTATTATTTATGGGTGCGTATTATTTTCGAGAAATTACGGTAATTAACATTCTAGGAAACCCAGTGGAAAGTTAAACATAAAACTGTAAAATAAATAAATGGTGCATAAGCATCTTTCACATCTTTTTTTACAGAAATGAAAATATATATTTGTGTCATTACGACCAATGGCGTTTCCTTAATTGAATGTGGATGCTTTACAAGTCTGTGTTTGTTAAGATTGTGAGAGAGCCCCAATGATCCAATTTTCTTTACCTCAGGTCACAATCGTCCTGGGTAAGTCATTAAACTACATCCGCGTCCTGAGTAAGACGATACACTACGTCCAGCAGCAAGGCCTCTGACCAGGAGGTTTTGAGGAGCGTGGAACCACCTCTTAATTGCTGGTGTTCCCAGGTCCAACCGGGGTGGTAGCACCTGCTAGGGTCCCAGCTATGGGCAAATAGTTAACCATTACCAGCAATACTTTTTTGAAGGAAAAATATTACCAGAAACAGATTTTTGACAAAACAAAATATTACCAGTAATAAAAAATGTTGTTGTCATACGAATCTATCCATAAATGTTGTCGGCATTAAATAACCCATTGAGGTTGATATGCCGTAAAACAAAATAAACCAAACCAAACCTCAGGCCACAAACTTGGATTGGATTGGGTCAGGAAAGATGGCAGCAGCAGCAGCAGCAACAACAACAACCACAACAACAACAACAACAACAACAACAATAATAATAATAATAATAATAATAATAATAATAATAATAATAATAATAATAATAATTATGATGTACGGGCACGTGGCCGAGGTGGTAGGACGTTCGCATTCTGACCATAAGGCTCGGGTTCGAATCTCACTATGAGTGATTCGTCAGAAAGGATGTTATCGGACTGGAGGGGTCGACCCAAGCGTGTGGCACCTTTGGAAAGTGCCTGAAAACCATACCACGGGTTGAACCTTGGGGGCAGTCGATAGCTGTGCTAGCACGAAGTCGTGGCCGAGGGTTTGAGTGTGCTGTCCTTGTTCAAATTGTTGATCACGCTAGATAACACTCTCTCTCCCAGAAACTGTAACTAAGGTCTGCTCAGCATAGTTGCAGTATAAACCACAGGTGGGCTCTGTGGGTATTGAATAAACGCAAATGTGCCTGAGCAAGCGTCTGCAATAGGGATTGGCTAGCCACCTAGTAGACGGGTATCATCGAATACGAGTGGTCATCTATACAAAATTAATAATAATATTAATAATAATAATACTCATAGAAGAGGAAAACTCAGAAAACATACATATGAAAGAAAAACCTTGTTCGCTGTTCACCACATGAGTCAAGTCAATTTTATCACAAATTCGAAACATCACGATTTCTTTAGAAGGTGGAAATTGTACCGATTCCCATTTAATATACACCACGCAATGTACCAAAGATGACTTGATTTATCTGGGTTGCACGACGGAAAAAAATGATTCAATGGCTCTAAGTATGACGTCAGACATCAACAGCTGTAATTTTGTACCAACATCTTAAGCTTTACATTCTGAAAAAAAATATTCAGAATTTGCCGAACTTGCGACTGACCCTTAAAACGCATGTGGATGGTTACCTATGCAAATTACTAAATTTCCACGCCGAGGGAATTAAGAAAATGACTGGAGAGTTCCATAAGATTCAGTGTAAGCTTTTTGGTTAATTCCTCTAAGTAATTAATCAACTAACGGAAATTCCGTGCTGAACACGATCCCCATCATATTACGCGTGTTTCATACTGGCTGTGTTTTATTCGTTTTGACGCGTTGATTACCAGTACAGTCGTTTTTTCAAGACAAGCGACGTTTGTACAAACAATTTTTTCTAGCTTTTTTTTATATTGATACGTGCATACAATAAACCCAAACCGAAGACGACAGCCAATGTCGAAATATTGATGAACATTGTCGCTTTCTTTTCTTTTTCTTTTCTTAAATCGAGCTCTTCTGGAAGTGTTACGTCAATCATTTTGTTTTTTTAATAATAATAATAATAATAATAATAATAATAATAATAATAATAATAGCACCTGATAAATTTAGCGGCGATTGGGTTAAAGGAGGAGTAATTGTTAACGGCGCAGATTTAGAAATTGAGGGGCTGAGATCGAATCCTAATCGAGTTCATTAGATTCACTTACATGCTAATACCCTTATGAAAGGTATGAATCACTCTCTCTATGAACAAAATAATAGTACAGACAGTGTCTTATAAGCTTGGCTGAATTCAAACCTGATCGCAATATCGTTAAAGTGTATATATATATATATATATATATATATATATATATATATATATATATATATATATGAAGAAAAATAGTCTTAAGGTGTGCTATATGTATGGGATAAAGTGCTCAATATCAGAGATAGAGAGTGTGTAAATATAAAGTCTGTTTCATGCGAGATGCAATCGTCAGGCCACCTGACGATTGCGTCTAGCATGAAACAGACTGTCGCCTTTAAGTGTTGACTTCAATGTTCATATATATATATATATATATATATATATATATATATATATATATATATATATATTAATGCAGCTGAGGACCACTTGTGAATCCAAATTCCTACTGAAACTCCGACTATAGATTTGCGTGCCGGAATGAATACGACGTCTGCTACGCTTGGTCAGCTTTCGTTCGGATGCGGTGTGTTCCGGTTCAAAAAGC